TATGTCTTACACGGTGATCAGATTCCACAACAGATCACAAACAGAAGTTATTTTAAACACTCGCTGCTGTCTGAAAGTGAGTTGAGCTAAAATTATTTAAAGCTCCAGTCCGTATTTTTGGGGGGTTAAAAATTATCCAAATTAAATTGAGCAAGTATAACCAGCCAGTGTTCAAAACTACCTTTTTTCCTTAGCTCGATTCAAAACGGTAAGCTTGTAATAATGTTTTTTATTCCAGTGGCACTGGTTGATTTCCGCAGGAAATTCGAGCATGTCTTTGCGTCATTACGTCACATCTGTACACATAAAGAAGGTGTCTCGGCTAGTAGGCTATATGAGCCCGTTCTCATCCCAAGGCGTAATATACTGACTCTTTTGCCAAAGCGTCTATATCCAACGCACATGGCACCCTTTAGCGTCATATGAGACGCAGATATATGGCGCCTCCTAGTGGTCTAACCCTAACACTACCCCAGACCTAAATCTACCCAAAACCGAAGCGTGTTATATTGACGCTAAAGGGTGCCATATGCGTTGGATATAGACGCTTTGGCAAAAGAGTCAAAATATTACGCTTTGGGATGAGAATGCGTTGGCTATATTGGGTGTGAGGATGCTGGAGGTGGAAATTTATATCCTTTTCTCAGTCACAGCACTTGATATAATTAAACTTAAGTTGAATAACTAAGTTGGAGGATTTCACCTGAAACAACTTCTCTCCAACCTAACAGTGACATGAAGACATGACATACAGACATATTTACAAAAAGATCTGACAATTTTATGATGATTCATATTTAAAAATGATTCTTCACCTGAAAAATATCAGATGCTTTAATGTTACTTTCTATAAGGAATCTTGACCGCTGGAATGGCTCCCAATGGGCAAGTGCAACGTCTGTCACACGTGCCTCGTAGTACCTCTCTAGTCAGGTGATGAAAAGATTGAATAATTGAGGGAGGTTGAATGCTTTTGTTCTCTGGAGTATTTTGTCTTTCAAAACATGCATTGCAGTCTCCACATAGTTGTTTGTTTGGTTGCCACGCGTTGGCAAGTTTCTTCTACAGCTGAGAGCCCTACTCTCATGTCGATTGTAAAGAACCCGTAGATAGGCCAGGAACTTCATATATCTGTAGCGAGAAGACAAATAATAAATTCAAAACAATAAATCCCCCAAAACAGGCTTCTGGACGGTGAACATATAAGAAGCACCTCTACCTGTCTACTATTTTCTTTACCTGTTGGTCAAAGGTTTGTTTCTCTACCTGGTCAAAGGTAGAGAGTTGGTCAAAGGTTGGTTTCTCTACCTGTCGTTTAGGAACCTGGGTGTGCTCTTTGATACCAATCTTTCATTTGAAAGTCATGTGTCTAGTATCTGCAAAACCGTATTTTTTCATCTTAAAAACATATCTAAATTATGCTCTCAATTAAAAATGCAGAACAATTAGTTAATGCGTTCATGACATCAAGGCTAGATTATTGTAATGCTCTACTGGGTGGTTGCCCTGCACGCTTAATAAACAAACTACAGCTGGTTCAAAATGCAGCCGCTAGAGTTCTTATCAGAACCAGGAAATATGACCACATTAGCCCGGTTCTGTGAACACTGCATTGGCTGCCTATTAAACATCGTATACATTTTAAAATATTGCTGATTACTTACAAAGCACAAAATGGTTTAGCTCCCCAGTACTTGAGCAAGCTCTTAACGCATTATAGTCCTCCACGTCTATTGCGATCTCAAAATTATGACCAGTTGATAATACCTAGAATATCAAAATCGACTGCTGGCGGTAGATCCTTTTCCCATTTAGCACCAAAATTTTGGAACAATCTTCCTAACATTGTCTGGGAAGCAGACACAGTCAGTTAAAATCTAGACTAAAAGCACATCTCTTTGGCCTAGCATACACATAACACATTATAGACTTCTATAATTCAATGTTAGGCTGCATAGTTTAGAACCGGGAACACATCCCATAAATCCTGATGTAGAGACAATTAATCGTCAAAGCCTTAAAGGAACACTTTTATATTAAACTATGTTATTCCCTTAACTAAGACGAGTTGATACAAACCTCTCTCGTCTCAGTGCGTGCACTCAATCGCTCTGGCGCGCTGCGATACTTTGATAGCTCTTAGCTTAGCCCAGTTCATTCATTAGGATCCAAACCATAGATCCAAACACCTCCACGTTTTCCCTATTTAAATACAGTTACACGACCAAGTAGGTGATACAAAATAAAACGTGGCGCTTTTCTAAGCGTGTAAAATGGATAACTAAAATATATGGCGGAATAGCACTTGGGAGCACTTCGACTCAGCGCAGTAATATCATCACTCCTGAAAAATCCTCTCATCATCAGGAGTGATGATATTACTGCGCCAAGTCGAAGCACACCTTCCAGCAAGAGGCAGAATGATCCTCTAAGGTCTGTTGAGACAAAGGTAGTCTACCCTTTGATCTCTAGAAAGGCGTTTATTATGTGGTGTTGTTGCTTTGGCGTTCTAGGTTGGCGCAATTGATACGTCACGAGAGGGCGACAATGAAGCGCCAGTGAGTTGTATTTATGCATAACGTTGCCTAAAGAAAGTAAAGAGTCAAGAGTCTGGCTAAAGAAGCCAGATAAATATACAGTTCGAATCCAGTCATTATTCAAAAGACACGACAGGTTTCACAAACAGGGCTTAGACTAAGCTAGGATTAGGCCTTAGTTCAATTATGGTATTTAGTAACTTTTTTAACATGCCCTAGAAAAAAAAAAACGTTACTGGTGTGTGCATCTTGAGACAAAACAATCCCACTGACATATTTTAAGATATGCCAGTGCAGGTCTCTTTCAGTTAAAACTGCTCAAACATGCATTTAGTCTAGGACTAGCTTAACCCTTGTATGTGAAACCGGGAGCTGAACTCTGCAGGAAAGCATTGAATATCGAGAGAGACAGCATACACAGACATCTATGTATAGAATTTTTAATCGGGATTTGTAAAAATTAGCGATTTGCGATGAGGATCCATTGGAGTAATTATGACTGAAAAGTTTCTAGCAACTAGGGAATACACAGCCATGTTATATTAAAGCCACTTAAACAAAAAAAAATTTATGATGAACAGATTTCAGGCTTTTATTAACTTTTATTAAGTTAAAAAAGGGGAATGCAGAGGCATTATTTAACAGTCTCTCTGTCTCATGAAGCTTTGCAGACTCTGTGTGATTTGATAGGCGCTGCACAGACGGTAATTTGATGTCATTCACCGATCGGTCTGTGCAGCGCCGGTTCAAGCCGAACAAGCCTAATGTGATTTGAAGGAGGTGTGGCTTTGGAGATGTTGTGAAGGGAGGGTGGGATCTCATGCTTTCAAAGCTAGTCTCATTGCCTATACCCTACCTTTAAGCAAAACGTTAAATAGTTATGAATTGCTGTCAGACTGTTAAATTCATTAACGTCTGGACAAAGATTTAATGTAGGGTGAATACTGGTAAAGTGGGACAATGGGTAAAGTGGGACAGTTAAGCTTAATCATTTCTATCTTTACATGGATATGTTTTTATTACTAAAAATCAACACTGAGCTCATCATTAGCACGTATGTGATATAAAAAAAAAGATTATGTGGCTATGACATCACTTCCAGTGTGTGGCACATCATATTTAACAACCTTGCAGTGAACCGTGATGGTAAGTAAAATGACATAGCATTCTGAGGTAAATAATGTTAAGGTTATAAAAATGAAAAAACTCATGGATCGTTTGTAATTGTTATATATTTTGTTAGGATGTAATGGAGAATCAGAATTTTTAAAAAATCACATTCATATTACTCTTCTTGGGTTTTTTTTATGCGATTTTGACACTGTCCCAGTTTGCAAATAGCATATTGTTAAACTGGGACAGGGTATTACTGGCAAACTGGGACAGCCATTCAAGTCATTCTAATGGAGGAATTGAGTTCCCTTTTTATATGTCCCTCATAAATTTAGTTAGCTAGATATTTCAACAAAGACTGACTTAAACTACTTATATTGAGCTTGCTTGCGATGCTAATGCAGGCACAGTCCAGACTGCCCAAGCTGGCTTCAGGGGGACTGGGATGTACCCAGTAAATCCCATGGCTATATACACCCCAATGTGTATGAGCCAAGTCTGACCACCGAAAGGCCACTGGCCCCTGAAGAAAGCGCACAGGAACATGAAAATCTGGACTGGTTTTTAAAATTAAATTTGAAGGAAATTAAACCCAATATAAAATGTTGTGGGCAGGCGAGGGAGGGGGTGGGTTGAATCTGCTGTACCTGCACCCCTTCTTAAAAAAAGTGATGTTTATATTGTTGTTTATATTGTTATTGTGTATTTTATTTATAAGGCCTACACTTAAATAACAAATTGATTGTGTTTTAAGTGTCCCAGTTTGCCAATAAAGGTGTCCCAGTTTGACAATAGTGCCTTGAAAAATGTGGTTTGGGGTCATTTGTGTGTTTGAGGAAGAGTCATCCATCCTGTTTTTAATGTTTCTTTCTTTTCTATTGTGTATAGTATAGTAGAGCTCTTAAGCTATTTAGAACAGAATCATATGAGCGGTTAAGACATTTGGATCATAATAAAAAAAGTATGCAGAATATAAATTATCAGAAAGTGTCCCACTTTACCAGTATTCACCCTAATTTAGGTGCATAAACATAGCAAAAACACCAACTCTTCAAATAAATCAATTTTCATTGTTTTTCCACAAGTCATCTTGCTTAAATGTGAGATTTATTTGGTGATAAACAGGGAAGACATCCAAACATCCATTGGTTAAAACAGCACAGTTATGAATGGCCACATTCTTTATTACCTGCTTCACCGCCCAAACCCCCCATACCCCCCAAACCTCAGCACAGGGCCAAGACATTGGCCATCAGCGTGAGTATGGTGACCATTTTCAGCACACACTGGAGGATTCTGCGGTTTGGCTGCAGACGACACTGGAGGATTCTGCGGTTTGGCTGCAGACGACACTGGAGGATTCTGCGGTTTGGCTGCAGGCGTCACTGAAGGATTCTGTGGTTCGGCTGCAGGCGTTAACGGTTCGGCTGTAGTCTTCACTGCATGGATACAGATAATCAGCTTTAGTCAGTCCGTTTAGTGGCATTCAGTCTATACAGATATTCAGATATACAGCATAAAACACAAATTGGAAGTTTAATTTAAAGAATTAATCATTATTTATTCATTTTTTAAACCCATCCTGTGCTTGCAGTGCCACCGGCTGAATACTTTTGAGATTGAGAACGATAAAATCAAACAAGACAAACTGAACAAGAAACCCAACCACTAATATAACAAATACCTGTATATCGAGCCATACACTGATGTCCACATCCATTGCTGCAGCATTTCTCATTGCTCGGACAGTCACTGTCATTGGAACAGATCTCAGCACACATTCCTGCTCCAGAGTTTGTGCTTGGACACTGTCCTGGCTTTGCTGCTACAGACACATGACAGAAACCACATCTTTAAATACTGAATGTCTAATTCACTGTAACAAAAGAAAAAAAAAGAAGAAAGTTTTCAAAGATGACTGGAGTAGTTTTTACAGGAATATTCAGTCTTTCTATTTTAGTTTCATGTTTAGTTGAATGGGTCACTTGCAATTATTTGTGCAAACCTAGCAATTTCTGATTGAATACTTATTTATAAACCATTTGTTTAGGGTTTCTTTTGGAAGACCTTCTACAGCATCCATCATTAATTGAAACTCACTGAAAACAGGCGGCACTATATCTGCTTCAAATCAAAGAAGCTTAGAAATATAGCATTTATCAATAAAATGCATCAATCAGTTTCAAAGACAGAGTGCGGTTACAACCTATAGGGCGAGTAGTGCAATGCTGATAGAAAACATGGACATCAGTTAATTTTATTTACAATTACTAGTATAACTAAGTATTTCTTTTAAAATTGTCAATGCCATCCCCACGGCCACCCACATTTCATCTTAAGCATTTAAACAGGCTACACAACACAGAAGGTACAGATTATTTAGCTCCCAGTCTTTAGTGTAGGCTATAGTTAACATGGAGAAAACGAAACTTTAATCAAAATCATTCAGAAATAAAACCTGGTAACATTTTTTTAGTCATATTATAACATTGTTGATTTACAGTAAACAAAAATGCAGTGATTGTATGGATTTTACTTGTACAATGAAATGAACATTAATATTTTGCAGATTTATAGGCCTATTTTATTGAAACTAAAACAAAGTACGAAGTTCAATTTCCAATGGATGTCTGTACTGAATTCTTGGTAAAAAACAAAACAAGGTGCAGACTTGTGCCTATTAAAGTCCAATTTTGTAAGGCACCTATTTATGCATTTATTCAGACTGTGTTAAAAGAGCTTCTCACCTACGACTCCAGCTTCTATTGTGTTCAAACATGCAGACAGACACAATAAAACAGCACTTAACGAGCAGTACACTCGAGATGTCATCATCCTCACGACCTGTGATCTCACAATCAACTCTGCTGGAAGATTAAGAAGTCGGGAAGGGCGGATAGCGAGCGAGGCACACAAAACTACAATGGAAAAACCCTGCCGCTGCATCATCTGCTGAATCACATAACAAACGCTGTGAAAACAGTTTAGATCGCTTTTTGCAAACGCGTTTTTAAAGATACTTGGAGGTCTGGGCAACTCCAACCTTAATGAAACTCACCTGCCTAATCTTGAAGACCTCATTAGCTTGTTCAGGTGTGTTTGATCAGGGTCGAAGAAGCGCTGCGTTCACGCCTTGTGTCCTATAATTACCGAGATGATTCCTGGACAGCAAATGGTGTCGGCCCGGTTCGGCTGCAGGCGTTAACTTTTGGTAGCCTACTACATTTCACATTGATAAACATGCTGAAACAATAAAAACATTCAACATTTAAAACATTAAAAAACTGATTATTCCTCTGCAAAGCAGCTCTTCATTAAGATTCATGACTGATTGTACAGGCGATCAGATAATGTTGCACAATTAAAATAAAAAATGACACGCATAGTAGGCCTAGCCTGTCATGTAAGTCTAAATAAGCTGTTTTAATAAAGAAAGATTGACGTTTATTGTAAGGTTCAAATAAGTTTAATTTATTTTCTAAACTGTGTCTGGTCATTATTTTCTGGCAGCCACGCGGGGAGACTGGGCGGGGATTTATTTGACGTCCACCTGTGAATGAATGCAGACACGATGGCTGGATTGCGTTTACATTACACTGAGATCCGATCACAATGCGTCCTCGACTACCTCCGAACCTGGACACGCTGATCGGATAACATTCCGATCAGAAGTGCGTTTACACTTGTCTTTTCGATGTGTATGGACAACATCCGGATACAGGTCGCATGTTAATTGCCAAGTGTAAACGCAGGGCATTTAAGTAACTTTTTTAAACGTGCCTTAGAAAAAATAAAACGTTACTGGTGTGCATCTGACAAAACAAGCCATAGGCTATTTTGAGATAGGCTATGCCAGTGCAAGTATCTTTCAGTTAAAACTGCTCAAACATGCATTTTAGTAGGACTAGCTTAAGCCTTGTCTGTGAAACTGGGAGCTAAACTCTGCAGGAAAGTGAATCTGTAGGCCTACTGGAGACTGTCACTGGCATAAATCGGCATTGAATATCAAGAGGCCTAGAATATCAAAATGTCTAGAATTTAAATCTGGATTTTTCAAAATGCTGATTGTTTTGCGTTGAGGATCCATGCAAGTAACTATGACTGAAAACAATGTTTCCAGCAACTATGGGAACACACAGCCATGGTTAAATTAAAGCCACTTTAATATAGCCTATAGGCTACTGTAATATTTTTTAATAGAACAGATTTTAGGCTTTTATTCACATATGAACATTTTGTTAAGTTACCAAAATGGGAATACAGAATCATAAAAACACTTAGGCCTAAATCTATAAAACATTGAAATCAAAATTTGCTAATCTAAAATGTCAAGTATTGCAAATGTGAATAAAGTCTGATCCTTTAGAAAAGCAACAGCCCACCTCTCATAAACAAATGGCATGATTTGAGGTATAATTCATGTCATTAACACAAACTGAATCCCATTAACCTACAGAATCTGAACCCTGGTTTGAATCATTTTGATGGAATATGCCCTTCATATTCATGGTAAATCCACTGAAGTCTCACTCCGTGCCGAGTCCAGTGGATGTCACCCTCATAAATGTCCTCGCGACACTGACTTTAAGAGAAGTGACCCGCTCTCACAGCGAGTGGTGCCTGAACTGCTGGAGCAGAAGAATCAGCAGTGAAAGTATTGGGCAACTTTAGCGTCCACCCTGCTGGGCCCTGCCATTTCACCCACGGGGCCAGAGCCCCAACCGGTCAGGGGCGCTTTATGTGGCTGCACTCATGGGGCTGTGGACAGGGAGTCATAGCAGGCACAACAAACAAAAGCAGAGGAAGGATTTCATGGGTTGTGGAGATGTCAGATGGGTGTCAGAGGTCTGTGGAATATAATAAACACTGCCACTATGGAAAAAGACGTTTTGTATCCACCCCAAAAAAACACAAAATAGATTCATTCTCACATTGTAAGGTCTACATTCTTTATTTTTCTGCATAAATATCATATATAATACATGTGTGTGTAATACGTAATATATTAGATGCGATTAATCAAATCATTTGCTAAATTATAAAATATTAATCTCACATATGTGATTTAGAGTTCAGGAGAGATCTTAACAATGTCTCAAATTGTGCTCAGATTTGCCAAGAGACACCACAAGTTTGTCATCAAAAATCAGAGATCACAATAGAAAATAAAACATTTCTCAAATTATTCCATCACCAAATCTTTATAAAATCATCATTACTACAAATGAAAAACAAATGCAACCATTATATTGATTTACAGTTAAAGTAATTTTAATAAAATAATTTTATGAGAAACATTTTAGACAAACATAACTGAGAATGTCATATTACTGTAACTTGAGCCAAGAAAGACATTTTCATTTAACATTTACATTTAATAATTTAGCAGACGCTTTTATCCAAACATTTATCCAATGTTTTATCCAAACATCCATAACAATATTTTTTAAACCACTCATGTCTCTATATTCACATTTGTATCACACTTTTAGGTTAACATGTTCCTCGTTTAAAAAAAAAAATCCACCACTAAATAGAGTAACTCTGGCTTCACTCCAGGTATAGGTTATATTATGGGCATTACAAACATTCTGAGCCTATTAAAATGTTTTTCTCATCAGAGAACGAAAGCATTTATTTAAACAGCATGCACCTAGATTCCCTCTAATTATAAATTAACTGTCTGAAAGTCTAGGTGTGTGCACTGAGGGGAACATTAAAATGTAGGCTATAATAATTAAATCAATGCATGAGAGGAGAAATTAATGTGGGACAATCTCTCTGAATCTATTTTATTTATTTTAGTTAAGCACATTAAAAAAAGGGTGGCACTGATTAATGTTATGATGTTAGTGAAAGACTAAAATAAATCTTTTTATTATTTTTCATTTATAATGTACACTGGCTATGGTTATGTCCACGTTACTCAGTGAACAGTCCTCTAGCGCCGCCTACTGACCGACACTGTCATAGCAGCGTCACTTTGCTGGTCAAGCCTCAAGAAATGAAAGAGCATTTTGAAGCGGTTAAAAGAGAGAAGAGAAGACAAGAGAAGAGGAGTTGACTGTTTGTTGAGTCTTCAACCTTGGTCTTCTTGAGACTGGGGGAAATCGCTCTCCTTGGCGCGTTCATGAGAAAAGTAGCAACATCCGGTTTGTGAACGAATCGCTCTTGTGAGTCTGATATTTTTAATGAATCGTACATTGTTGTCCGATAGTAAAACATTAAAAATAAACTTATTTTTTTTTAAAACTTAGAGCTTTTGAGTCTCGCAAAGCAAATTAAGCCAATTTCAAAAGGACTAAAAAAACAATCTCTTACCTATTTTAATGGATTGTATTAACATTCCCAGCATTGTTTTTTTTGTCAGTATAGGCCTGAGAATTATTTCATATCAAGTTAAATTCCACATCCAGTCCCTCTCTCCGATTAATTTTTTTGCTGTTTTGAGAGGAAAACATGGTTCACCGTGACCCATCTGTGACACTTGTCATGTATAGGATGGTTTGACTTCCACTGCGACTCTGATCCTGAGTGAAAGGAGATGAAGAAGGGAGAATGTCTGCTCAGTCAGAAAATGTGTTGTGAAAACGCAGATCTTGTATCCTCTCTCTTTCTCTGATGTGTCCTGAAGACACCTAACATCTCTTGCAAAGATTTGTTGACCTTGAATGCATTCAGAATGGTACATATGGTCTATGTGAATATTGAATGTGTAGGCCCATAAAAGAGAAAATATGTTTAAAAATGATTTAATATTAAAAGGAATAGTTTACCTAGAAATGAAATCAGTCATCTCATCATTTACTCCCCATCAACAAAGTCGTTTTAAACAAACAAGACTTTATTTTGTGGAACACAAAAGGGGATTTAAGAGTATGGCTATTCTGCATGGTCATATTTTTCAATGCAATAAATGTGAATGAGGATTGACCCCAGCTAACAGAGAATGTGCATAACTTTCACTAACGTTCTTAAAAAGTTATGTAAATGTTAAGAGAACATTCTTAAAATAATGTTTTTGGAACAGTCTTATAATGTTATAGTTAGTATAAAGAGAGAAGAGAAAGCGTTCTTAGAATAACATTCTCGGAATGTACTTTTAATGTTATTTGCTTAATGCTTTCATAATGTTATCATAAAACTGAGTACAACGTTCATAGAACGTAATTACGATGTGATTTGTACTTAATGAATCTTCTTTGTACTTAATGAATCTTCTCATGATGTGAAGAGAAAACGTTGTGAGAACAACGTTCAGTGAATGTCCTTAAATTATTTTTACTTCATGAAAATTGAGAGAAAGCATTCTTAGAACATATCTTTGTTAACTGGGATCAAGCTCAAATCAAAAAAGCCCCATCAGAAAACTATTTAAAACTAAATATACTTGAGTACGCGATTAGTTAATCAGACTTTTTTTATGAAACAGTTTATTCAATTCACAAAAATGGTCTAATGATTTATGATTTGGACTCATCTAGTTCTTGAATAAGTGAATAAAAGATAGCTACATTTAGTTTATTTCAAAGCTTATGGCTTCAGAAGACTTGAAATATGGTGCATGAATCATAAGGACTATACACTATTATGTATTATGTAATAAAGTTTTTATGATGCTTTCGAATTGTTTCCTTAGGTCCCCCATTTTTATAATTGAGAAAAAGCTGCTAGTACATTTTATTGACAATTTTCTTTTGTTTTCAAAGGTCAAGACAGGTTTGGAGCGACATAAACATGAGCAAATGATGCTTTATCATGGGAGTAGTTTGGTAGAAATAATGGTTAATATTTAGTGTTGCAGTACCAGATTAAATTTGGTACTGTACCAGAGGACCTCTGGGAGACACTCTGGCGTGTCTGACCGGCAGGTTAGCATGGCAAATGCGATTAACGTT